CCCCCGGTTTGCCACAGCAGGGGGTCGCCCGGCGCCGCTCCCGGGGGAGCCGCCGAACTCCCTGTCCTCGGGTTCCCCAGAACCCTCAGAACAGGCGCTGTGCAGAGCTGCGTTTCAGTCGGAGTCCAGAAACCGTTACTGCTCAGTAAGTTACCAAGAAATACGGCGAAATCCGGTGTGATCAGCTGCGCTGTTTACTGCGGGGCTGTCGTTATCTCATGGAGTTTGTGTCGCGAAACTTGTGGCGTGCCCACTTCCTTTTGTTCTCAGTGAGCAAATATTTTTTCTCATTATCTGCATGACATGTGTACAAGGAGTGATAAAAGCAGTGCAGGTAGTCGCACAGAGCACGGTGGGAGGGACTGCAATGTAGCTGGGATGGCAGAAGTAGCACAAATGAAGCACAGTGGGTTACAGAATAAATACAAATATAAATATAACCATCACCGAGAAATAACCTTTGTTGCTAGCTGTAATTAAAGGCTGAATAGAGGCACTTCCTATTAAACACAGCTTGTGAGAGGAAAAAAGCCCTTAGAAAGGGCGAGGAAACTTTTTCCATGGTCTGGTGGTTGTGTCCACGTTCTTTCCACATACAGTCTACTGAAACTGTGAGAATTTCTAATTAAACAAACCCAATGTGAGAATACAGATAGTATTATGTGCTGGAAACCAGCACAAACCTCTAAGCTAACGCACTTTACCTGTGCCTTCAAAATTGCCACTGGAGGGGGGAGGTCCCTGCATCAGCACTGGCTCTCATGCCACGTGCAGTCCCCCCACCATAACATGACTAATGGTTCACACGTGGTCGCCCTTTCATCGTCTCCCCACGGCAAGAAGCGTGTGCAGCAAGCACCTTGGTTTTGTAGGGTTGTTTGAGGCAGATTTGTTTGGATTTGGTTTGCTTTTGCTGTTGTTTTTTCTAATTTTAGCTAAGCTTACATACTTCCCAAACTTGAGTGCTCAGCTATATTGGAAGGACAAGGTGAAAGAATCGCTTCTTGTACTTGGGGCGGGCAACAGGGAGCTTTTCAGCTTGTGATGACGTTTGTCCCGTGGTCCTGGACCAGCCTGAGAAGATTGTGTCTGGCTTGGGGATCCTGGACGCTGTGTGCTGTAGAAGGAGAGACGAAGAAGTCAGGGCCACCCCCACAAAGCGATGCTGAGAGTGCAGGACTAGCTAGGAGAAATAGCCTTCTGTGAGCAGCATTTTTAACAACAAGGTAGGGAGTAAGAATGCAGAGCCTGCAGTGAGAGCTGATGGTGCCACATGCACTGAAACATGAAAAAGATACTGCAGAACAATTCAGACCCAGAAAGCAGAAGTTGCATTTCCTGCCCAGAACAGGTTTTGTAATCAGAATCAAGGGAGACCGTGGAGGATCCCCCCCATACCACTCCAGGCACTACAAATCACTGTCCTCCACTTAAATGCAAGTCTTAACTTTGTTCACAAAGTTCTGTTTTCACAGTTCTGCACCCCTAGTAAGTGTCCCTGCAGTTAGTGGAAGTGCGTGCAGGCCTGGTAGGTTGTATGAGTATCTGCAAGTGCCTTTACCCATGACCTAGTGCTGAGGAAATTCAGCATCGTGGCTTTGTAGGTGGAAAACTTTGGGTGTCCTGGGAGACTTTTTTCCAGCTTGTGCATGCTGATAGCTTGCCTGCTAGTGCCAGAAAACAACGTAGCATTGCTTGCTCATTTTCCAGGTTGTGCAGTGCTGGTCCTCCTCTTGTCTGCAACCGTCTCTCTCCTGGGTGGGCTGATATTTGGATACGAGCTGGGGATTATCTCTGGTGCATTGCTGCAGTTGCAGATAGACTTTCACCTCAGCTGCTTCAAGCAAGAAATCCTCGTGAGCGCCCTCCTTATCGGAGCTCTCCTCGCCTCTCTGGTTGGGGGCATCCTCATCGACCACCATGGGCGGAGGAGAGCAATCCTGGTCAGCAACTTGGTCCTGTTGGTTGGCAGCCTTATTCTCACATTGGCAAGGTCATTTATTGGGCTGGTCATTGGGCGCGTGATGGTGGGCTTTGCCATCTCTGTCTCATCCATGGCCTGCTGCATCTACGTCTCGGAAATGGTGGCTGCTCATCAGCGAGGGCTGCTGGTGTCTCTCTGTGAAGCAGGCATCACCGTAGGCATCCTGCTGTCCTATGCACTGAATTACATCTTTGCGGACGTGGATGAGGGTTGGAGGTACATGTTTGGGCTGGCCATTGCCCCGACAGCCATGCAGTTCCTCAGCATCCTCTTCCTCCCAGTCAACCCTGTTAAATTAAGCTCATGGAACTCAGACTGCCAGAAGGGCCTCATTCAGTTGCAGAACACTGAAAACAGAGAGATGGCAAAGAGGGAGCCCTATAGGGAGAAACATTACTCATTTCTTGACCTTTTCAGGACCAGAGACAACATGAGAAGGCGGACTCTAGTGGGCCTGGGACTGGTGCTCTTCCAGCAGTTCACTGGGCAGCCCAATGTGCTGGGCTACGCCTCCAAAATCTTCCACTCGGTGGGGTTCCAGAGCAACTCCTCGGCGATCCTGGCCTCTGTTGGGCTCGGGGCAGTAAAGGTGGTGGCCACGCTCATCGCGATGGCGTTTGCAGACAGGGCTGGCAGGAGAGTGCTACTCATGGCTGGCTGCGTGGTGATGGCCATCTCTGTCACCACCATTGGCCTCACCAGCCGCATTGCTCCGCTGGCCATGGCCCGGGACTGCAAGGCAGCCACAGACCCCAACGCATCCCACACGCTCACCCACCAGCACCTGACACGTACATCCTCCCAGCCTGCCGTGTCACCCATGCCACCAGCACTGGGTGCTGTCGAAAGTCAGGCAGGCCCTGGTTTTGCTGCCACAAGGAGCCTTACAAAAGTTTTTGCCAGTACTCAAAGCAGAGAAGTTGTTTCCAGTTCTTCCCTCACTCAGAAAAAGGACTTGGTAGGTCAGTCCAAAGAAGAGACAGTGGAAAGCACAGGCCCTCCTTTCAGTGGTGCTTCCTGGACAGAACATATGGCTTTAAATTGGATTACGCTGCTGAGCATGATGGCCTTCGTGAGCGCCTTCTCAATTGGATTTGGACCAAGTAAGTATGGTGTTTATATATCCTTGCACTAACCCCGAGAATAAAACTAGGGCTGATTTTTACAGTCTGCTTGAAATGTTTCTTATGCATCTGCTTTACCAAGCAGCTCAGTGCTGGGAACTGGAAATACATCCCCTTTGCTCAATTAATAATTTTCTAGCATTGCAGCTTGGTCAGCTGTAAGGCTGGTACAGCACTAGAATAACTTTCTCTTCCATGCTATCACTAGGCTTGTAATGTCTTTTTTCCGTGAAGCTCGTTGCAAAATCAGAGCATCCCACAAGCGCTACCTAATCTTCCTAGCGCCCTGGTGAGGATGAAAATAGAGGGTGGGGGGCAGAGGGACTGAGGGGCTTCGCTGTGTGATAAGGTCAGTGCAGAGCTGGAAGTGGAACCTTTTTCAAAGTTTCTCAATATCAGCCGGTCTTTTTCTGAAATCATTATTTACTCATCAGATGAGAGTAGAGGTTAGTTCTTGCTTCCAGGGGAGCTCTACTGTTTTCTGGCATTTGTTGCTTTAAATGCTTTGATGAAAGAAAACAGCATCTAACTGAAGAATAAAACATAAGTGAGCAAGTCTCATGGGTTTGACAGTGACCCTGTAAATTATTTCAAGCAAAATAACCCTGGAATAGGAGAGACTAAGATATACGTTGCTTTAGATCTGAATTTAGCCCAAATGCAACATCATCTCCCTAATCCTACCCCTTCCTCATTTCTTTACAAAGAGCATGTCCTGACAGCAGGTAGACTAGACCATTTCGATCATCCCTGAATGGAATGACCAACTCCCCTGCTTTGTTCATTGCTCCCTGGACCTGTTCATTGGTATTTCATTCCTCCATGCTGAGCGTGGGAGTTTTCAAGTGTTCTGCTGTGACCTGACACCGAGATCGATGAATGTTTGACACCACCAGCAGCGGGTGCTGGGTGAAGCCAGAGTTTAAGACCCCTGCTGAAACCTTCCTTGCCCATTTCCCGAATAAATTGCTTCATGCCTACAGCTGTGTTTCTGATCTCTCTAATCCGTGCAGTGACGTGGCTGGTCCTCAGTGAGATCTACCCTGCTGGGATAAGAGGAAGAGCCTTTGCCTTCTGTAACAGCTTTAACTGGGCTGCTAATTTACTGATCAGCCTCTCCTTCCTGGACCTTGTGGGTAAGCAGCCATCCCCCATCCCTCCAACTCCCACAGCCTGTTAGGGAAGGTGGCCACCACAAACCATTTGGAGATTAAGTGGCATTTTGAACACTGGTGACTTGACACTGGTATAGGTGACCCTGATGCCTCAGAGCAGAAAAACCAGGCACCAGCAACACTGCTGTGAGCCCCTCCGCCATCCATTTCACAAAATCATCCATCGCTCGCTGGGCTGCACTGCAATACTGCAGTATCAGGAAACCATGGAGTCTGCAGCTTTCACGCCGGTGGCTTTATGACCTGTCTTGCTAGCAGAGCTCTCGGTAGAGGCACTCAGCCGGCACTGCTGGGCCCTGGAGCTCTGCTGCGTTCTCCTTCCCTCTGCGCTGCTGCTGGCAAAGCCTGGCATCAACCATCCTTCTCCCTTACTGATTCCCGGTCCAGGTCTTGCAGATAAGGAGGTTCCCTGCCCTTTTGGGGGCTTCTCAAAATAAGATGCCCCTGTCAGGCACCAGTGACCACCTTGCAGCAAGCAACCAGCTTTCTTTGTATCCCATGAGTGACCTACCTCTAACAACCATTCATGCACTTGAATCTCTCTGCAGATGCCATCGGTTTCTCTTGGATGTTTCTTCTGTATGGACTAACGGGATTGATGGCTCTTATATTCATTTACATTTTTGTTCCGGAAACAAAAGGACAGTCCTTAGAGGAGATAGACCAGCAGTTCTCCAGGAAACGGTATGTGTGCTGTTGTACCAGCATGAATGCTGGCTTTGGGCGCTTCCCACCAGCAGTCTCCGAGGTCTACGGCACTGGGCAGCTCAGGGCGGTTGCAGAGGCTGGTCAGTGCTGTGGAGAACATCTCAGGTTTGTGCAGGCCTATGGGACAGGGTGCGAGAGCTGCAGCGTAGTTCATCAGAAGGTCACTGCCCTGAGCCTTGGAAGGCACTAGGGAGGAAAAGGGCTAACAGCCAGGGCTTGGTGAGGGGAGGAGAGAGGACCAGAGTGTAGCAGAGGCAGGTCAGGACAGCGAGGTCTTTAGGATAGTCCTGAACTGATCATTCTGCTCTGCCGCAGAGATGTCTCTTGTTGTAACACATGCCACGGGCTCTCACCCGGTGATTTCCGTGCAAAGCCTGTCATGGGCTAGGAAAGATCAAGAGCTGTTTGTGCAGTTCTTGCTGTGAAGGAGGTGGTGGGATAAGCATCACTGGAGCAGAGGGAGGTTCTGCAGCCGCAGGGCTGCGATGCCGAGGGGAGGGAGCACACACCCCATGGTGTGTGGCTGGGGAGGGGTCACTGCTGTGAACCCCTGCCTGGCTCCTGGCTCCCTGTGAGCAGCAGCTGCTGCAGCTGACCTCTGCCATTGCCCAGCAGGGTGTGGGAAGGAGACGTGTTTAAGCAGAGACATGGAAGAGGAAGGAGCTGCACACACGCCCGGTACCAGAGAGTAGAGCACACCAGCAGCACGTGAAACCAGTGACGTGCCCGCAGCATCACCCTGAGGAGAGGAGCAGGCTGTGCCATCCGGACAGTTCTTTTCCATGGCCTTTAACTGGTGACCTCCGCTCAGAGACAGTTCTCACCACAGTGCCTTAGATCTTGGGACATGCCGATAGCTTGCCTTTGGGTCCCTGGAGGATCATAGGTCCCAGGCAGGTAACATGTCCTTCATTTGATGTTTTATTTTTCATGGTTTGTAGCTCCTGTCATTTAAACGATTGCTGTTTTTGTGCACAGAAATTAAAGCACAACTTTTCGACAATGCTTTCCACCCGTACAGTTCATTTGTAAGCAAGGTAGTTTTTATTTTCTAGTTCTTTGAAATACTTGCTGCTTTACAGAGGGGACAGTAGTGCAGGAGGAATGTGTCAAGCACTCAGCAGCATACATTAATATTATCACCCTTTGTAACATCTACGTAGGAGTCTGGAGTCTGACATGGGAGCTAATGCAGATTAAACGCTGCATTTCAGCGAAGGCAGAACAAGTGCTAGCTCCCAGGCTGCCATTTCCCACAGCATCAAGGCCCAGCAGTGTCAAGACCCAAGGCCCATGCTAAATGAGCGTAGAAGTACATCTCACATGTATGTTTGGCTGCTTGCTTTTGTACACAGGCACTGCTTTGCATTCATGACCAGGGTTTGCATGTACAAAAAATGCATGCAATATTCTGGTACCTTCTACAAGTTTCCCACCTCTTAAAATTGTACATTGTTTGATTAATTCACCCCTCCCCCCTGACACATGCAAATTACAAAAAACCCACCCTTCTAACACCATGCTCGCTCGCCAAACCTTGTGAGAGAGGAGCTGGTACGCTGCTGAGCAGCCAGTCCTGGCTCTTTTGAGCCCGTGAAGGAACTAAGTCCTAAAGCTTGGGGTTTTCCACTGAAAATGCAGGTCCTTGGGGACCAGTGACAGCTAAGCTGAGCCATCTGATTGGCACCAACAGGGACAAACACAAAGGATGTGGCCACGTTACTCAAACCCCTGTCCCAAAGAGAAGCCACAAAGCCACTGGAAAATGATCTGTCCTTAGCTGTAATTCAGCCCGTTGCTGTCAGGTGGCTGCCATGGAAGTGCTTTTCTCTTCCCTCTGAGCAACGGGGGTCACCCATCACCTTCCTCACCCCCCTCGGCCTCCCTACGGCACCTCTGCGACAGCTGGAATGGGGTGTTTCCGAAGTCCCTGGTGTGCTGCAGACGCTGTCACCGCAAGGCGCACAAGGACGCCTGTAAAACAAAACGGACGCGCTCTTCCTGCAAAAAAGCCCGTGAATACCGAGCTGTACCAGGAGCAACTCCGCTTTAACGGGAGGAAAACCCACCAGTGCTGTCCCAGGAGTCAAAGTCAGGCTCCGGGCTACGGCTGCAGACCGTGGCCGTTGGTGACGGGGTCGCACGTTCACCGGGGATCCCTGGCCGAGAGGGCTGGGGGGCGCTGGGGGGTGATTGCGTGCGGCCGGTTGGGGGGGACGCGACCGGGCGGCTTTGCTCGAGAGCGGTGCTTCTTCCCGGGCTGCGCC